GAGTGAGTGAGTGAGTGAGTGAGTGAGTGTGTGTGTRTTTGTATATAATATTTATAATATAATAAAAAGGCAATAAATTAAAAATTTATTTATATTTGGTTAAAACCTATGTGTGTGTGTTTGTGTGTGTGTGTATGTATGCGCTTATGTGTGATATATWTTAGATTAATAGCTATTTCATCCTATATATGGGAATATATATATATATATATATATATTGAATATATTGTAYAAAACATTTTTTTTTATTTTGTATTTATTTATAAATAGGAATAGATTTCTAGGAAATATATTTATTTATTTATTTAATATATATTGATATAATATATATATATAAATGTTTGAAATTTATCTTTTAGTTAAATTTATTTGTATATAACTAAATAATATATATTTTATACGATTTGTGTGTCWATATATGTACAAGATTTTGATATATAGATATGTGATCAATGTGYTTGTGTGTATTTTTTGTGTGTATKTGTGTGTGTGTATGTATGTGTGTGTGTGTGTATGTATGTATGTATGTATGTWTGTGTGTATGTATGTATGWRTGTATATGTATGTATGTATGTATGTATGTATGTATGTATGTATGTGTGTATGTGTGTATGTATGTATGTATGTGTATGTATGTATGTATGTGTATGTATGTATATATGTATGTGTGTGTGTGTGTGTGTGTGTGCATGTATGTGTATGTATGTGTATGTATGTATGTATGTATGTATGTATGTATGTATGTATGTATGTATGTATGTATGTGTATGTATATATATACATGTGTTTGTGTATGTTTGTCTGTGTATGTATGTGTGAGTGAGTGAATGTATGTATGTGTGAGTGAGTGAATGTATGTATGTATGTGTATGAGTGTGAGTCTATATGTATGTATGTATGTTTGAGTGTGTATGTATGTATAATATATGTGTGTTAAATATATATATATATATATATATATATATATAATATAAATAGCTGGGATGACATACGGAATTAATGTGATTGAATGCTCCATACATGCCAATAGTACCGCCAAAGTTATGTAACATACACCAGATAAACGGCTGTCCATAATAGCCGTCCAATTGATTGAAACGGGGCTCCAATTCCGACATCAGATCCAGTATTAGAAGTTTGCCCTAAAATAAAAATGTTTTGCAAATAACAAAAAAACATATATATATTTATTATCTATAGTATTATATTAATTAATTATATAATATGTATAAAAAAATATATTACACATTTGTAAACATACTAATAATTTACTAAATAAAAAATTGTTTAAATATTTTTTTAAATACTATTATTTTTTTCCTAATATTTTTTAAAAATATTGTATTTTATTATTATTGATTTAGCAATTAAAACGATACTATAAATAACATGTGATTAAAAAATTATTATAATTTTTTTCAACAAAATATTATTGCTTTTAACTTTTACTAAAACAAAATTATTTATAAATATTATTAATAATAATACTTTATAATTCAATAAACAAACATATTTTGATTTATTATAAATTTAAGTACTTTAACTTAAACTACTAAATAAAATTAAAAATAATAATTTTATTATCAATAATATTAGATTATTATTATTATTATTATTTTAAAGACGGATATAATTATATTTGTTTAACAATAAAAATTTATATATTTATAATGGGATTTAAATTGCAAATTGATAATCCTATTCAATAATATGTGGCAATCCTACTTTAAATTTTTATTATATATATATATATATATATACAGTATGTAAATATTTTTGTTGTTTTATTTRTTTTTTTTTGTACATTGCTTAATAATTTTTGATAATAMTAATAATGTTTACCAAAAAAATTTATATAAAATTACAAATAAATACTTAGCATTTTGATTGTTTGTTTATTATATRTTTTTAAAATTGATTTATAAAATCAGAAAAATCATTTGACTATAAAATTCTAGTTAATATTTTAACATTTTTTTTGATATAYATTATTAATATATCAATAAATTTTTGTAATACTTTGAAAAACAATTTATTTTGAAGTATATATATATAYACTGTATGTTATATAAGTTATATTATTATTATTATTATAATTACTACTTAAAAAATAATGATATATCTATTTTGACTGAATAAATAAATATATATATATAATAATATTTCTACGAAAAAATCAAATTAATTTATTTTAGTTGGAATTTTGTAAATTTATTAAAATTATAGTAAAGTATATTTATTTTTATTTTATTTTTGTTTTTCAAAAAACTCAATTATTTATTTGGAAATATATATATAATATATTATAATATATAAATATATATTTGTTTATTTAAAATTCAAGTAGCAATTATATTAATATAATATTATTAACATAACATATATATGATATACAGTATAGTATCACAAAATAAATAGTTTTATAGTATAATAAATAGATTATTATTATTATTATTATTATTATTATTATTATTATTATTATTATTATTATTATTATTATTATTATTATTATTATTATTATTATTATTATTATTATTATTATTATTATTATTATTATTATTATTATTATTATTATTATTATTATTATTATTATTATTATTATTATTATTATTATTATTATTATTATTATTATTATTATTATTATAGTACTATAATTATTTACAATATATATATTATTTTTTAATTATTAAAATTAATTAATTAATTATATATTCAAAAATAAAATTACCTTGGGCACTGATGTTATCAATGCTTTAGCTTGATCTTTATGCCAATAACCTGGATCATTGACAAACAGCCAGCCCTGCATTACCCTGGTAGATTTGAAATAAATAAAATAAAAACAATTATCTATAAATATATATTTATATTAATAAATTAATAATATAAAAATTTTATTAATAATAAATTACAGGGGAATAATATATGAAATTATCATTGTAATGTAATTTGATATTATTATTATTATTATTATTATAAATATTTAATTTGTGATTATATTTGTTTTGTTTTAATATATTTATGTGTTTCAAAAAATATATTATTAAAAATTTATATGTACTGTATATATATATATGATAATATATTATAAATAATAATAGATTAGATTATATAATAATAATAAAAATAATAATTAATTACAAATTATATACTAATATATATATATATGCACTTTACAAGTGCTATATTAGTTAATAGTGTTGAAAACTTAAATAATATATTTATWAAAAAAATATTTTATTATATTTTAATTACTTAATATTTTTTTTTGTATTGTTATTATTTATAACAAATAATATTTCAAAAATAAATACTATTTTTTTTGTCAATTGTTTTTTTTATCAATCACTTACCAAACAGATTGGTTATCAGCTTTTGCTAGACTCTGATAGACAGCGTTACCACAATCGGCCAAATATTTGGTGTCTCTATAAATAAAATATATATAAAACTGAAATTGATATTTAAATTTTAGAGAAAATACGATATAATTAATTTTTTTTATTCTCTCTCTCTCTCTCTCTCTCTCTCTCTCTCTCTCTCTCTCTCTCTCTCTCTCTCTCTCTCTCTCTAAAWATCCATAAAYTAYATGCAATATAATATGAAAATAATATATTTATAAAACAAAAAAATCAATAAGATTTTTCTACTTTCTTATTTTTGTTTTAATTTTAACAATTTAATCATTATATTTGTGGGGTAAAATATTTTAGTGGAAATAATTTATATACTGATATATTGATATATAATTTTTACCTATTAAATTACATTGCATTTTATTGCATAACAATATTGCAACAACAAAAATATGTAATAATTTTGTTTTTTTCAATTAGTTAGTCTCTAAATATATGAATAGTTTATAGTATATAGACCTGTATATAGTTTTTTTTATTGTTATTATTATTATGTAGAGACAGATAATGCTAATTATAAATCAATTAACAAAATTGAATTTATATTGTTTTACAGAATATTCTGTTTGTATAATATATTATAATATCAATAATTGTATTGATTTGTTGTTTTTTTTATTGTTAATATTCTAAATAATATTTTTTGTTAGTTATTTAAAAATATACAAATATTTTTTTTATCAAATTATCTACAAAAAAATCAAATAAAATAAAAACTCACTTTGTTTTAGGTGTTACCTCATTAAATAGATCGGTATTATAAAAATGATCGGTGCCATACATTGATGAATACTAATTAATAATTTAATAATTATAAAAATATATATATATTATTAATAAAAAAATTTTTTTGATTAAAAATATTGATTTTATTTTTTGATGTGTTTTGTACTGTCAATTCCTAAAGTAATATAATATAATAAGTAATTAATTAATTAATTAATTTTTTTTTGTTTCTATGTTTAGCTGCTTTTTTCCTATTGTGTGTATATATATAAAACAATCAATTGTTTTATTTTGTTTTTTATTTGTGTGGTGAATAATAATAATTATTATAATAAGGAAGTTTATTATTATTATTATCTAATAATACCCTTATTAAATAACTATTATAAATGATATTAATATAATAATAATAATAATAATAATTGTAATAATACTTCACTGATAAATGCTGATCCAATTTCAACAAAATGCGGATCCTGGGGCTCCAGAAAATAGGTGCTATTGTATTATATTATATATGATTATTAGATAAAAATTTGATGATAGAAATGTTAGGTAAAAATAGAAAATTTTTCGGAGAAAATTTCTAAAAAAAATAATAGTTAACTTTTGATTTGTATTATTGTATAGTAATATTAGGACCGTATCTATTAATAGGCTATTGTAATACTATTGAATTTTATACATTATATTTATTATTGTATATTAATAAAAATAATACTATATATAATATACATACAAATGGGATCATTATATATATTATATTAAATTTTTGTAAAATTTTTATTAATCATTTAATTATTTGATTTCTAGTTTAATATAATTAAAATTTAAAAAATAGGATTATTTTTTACTTTAATTATTACTATTAAAAAATACTACTAATAATAATAATATTTAACTATTAATTGTAATCAAAAAAAAATAAAATAAATAACTTAAGTTAACTAATTGTGATCCCAATAGACATTAGAGAATATTATGCCAATTAGAAACTTTCTAGAAAATTTCTCTATAATTATTTTTTTATATATAGAAATTTCTATTTGTTTTATTACTACAATTATTACTACAACAACCATACCCGGTATAGGTATCATTAAATTTGCCCCACTTAGACAATCGGCTAACCCGGGCATCGGGCATAACACGTGTCAGATTCCGGGGTACATGACCGGCAAAAGCTGGCAACACTGGCAACATACCAAACGATCGCATACGTTCAAGTATCCGGGCCTGTAGTATAGCCTGCTGTTTGTGCCAATTGTCGGTCAACGGTCCCGACCAGCCCTCGACATTGCCCATACGGTTCCTATTAAATTATTTTTTAATACATAATATGATTTAATATTTAAAAAAACAAAAACAATATTTACTTATTATATTATTACATTAGAAAATAATTATTAATTTATATATATATATATTAGAAAATAAATAATAATTTTTATATATATTTTTAAAAAATAAATATTAATTTTTAGATATATATTTTTAAAAAACTAAATATTAATTTTTATATATATATTTTTTAAAAATAAATATTAATTTTTATATATATATTTTTTTAAAAATAAATATTAATTTTTATATATATATATTTTTTAAAAAATAAATATTAATTTTTATATATATTTTTAAAAAATAAAATATTAATTTTAATATAATTAATTTTGATATAATTATTTTTATACATTTTTTGTTTATTTCGCAATATTATATATAATTATATATTGTATGCAAAATTTTTTATGTATTTATTTTTATCAATAAAAAAAATTATTAATAAAAATAGGGAAAAATAATTACCTAAAATTTGTCAATTAAATTGAATATTTATAGTACTGTAATAATATGTTAGAGTTAATTAACTAAATTTTTTTTATATTTTAGTAGTATTTTTTAGTTTTTTAGCAACAAGCAACTATTGATTAAACACTAAATTGTTTAATACAATTTCAATTATATATATATCAATAGTGTTAGAAAATTATTTTATTTTATTATTTTATTTTATTATTTTGTTAATTATAATAATTAGTACTAAAAAAAATTTATTCAATTTTTAATCCAGATTTTAGTAATCAAATTTAGTACACTTATAATACTATGGATAATACCTATTGCTATGTTAATGACTTTAATTAAAAATCCAATATATTTACAATATATATATATATATATATATATATATAATACTATTAATGGGTTTAAATTTTTATATACAATAGCAATAGTATTTTGTGTGCTAATGAGTTAATGAGGTTTTTTTTGTTATTAAAAATTTTATCTATTTTTGTCTATTTATAATACTATATATAAAATTAATCAATATATATATATATATATATATATATATATATCATAATATATTGTATATTATTGTCTAATTTATTGTTAGACTATTTGTTGTTGAAAATACTAAATACTGCTAAATAGAAATTGCTTGAAACTGATTGACAATTACACAAAACAAATTTCAATTAATTAATTATTATTATTAAATAAAAAAAATTAACTAAAAAATTACCATGCTAAAAATGCTGGACCAGTAAAATATTCATCAATTTCGGCAACAGTTAGTCCAAACTTTTGAAAAACCTATTGATTTTGTATTTTAAAAATTGTTATCAAAAATTATTTTTATTATTAAATAATAAAATTGCTAATTTAATTTTTTAGTAAATTAATTTCACAATTTTATATTATTTTATATATATATATATATATATATATATATATTAAATAGTATATTTAATTTGATCTAATAAATTTAATAATAATAATAATAATAATAGTAATTATTATTATTAAATTATAATATAATATACAGTAGTGTAGTGTATTGTATTTTTTTGTTGTTTTTATTTTATATATTATTATAGTATTGTTTTTCATGAATTAAAAAACAACAACAAAAATAATATAATCAATAATATTAAGGTACTGTATATATTATATATATATTGTATATATATATTTTTTGTTGTATACAAAAAAAATAATTGATCTAATAAATATCGGTCAAAAAACATTAAATAAATATTAGTTTAATCTTATAAAGATTGTATGCTAACAATTGTTGTCAATTATTTTTATAGATAAATAGATTGTTTGATAAATAAATAAATATATAAATAAATAACTAAAACACCAAATATACTAGTAGTCTATATATATAGGTATATATAAGCTAAATTTAATTAATCCCCTTTACAATGTCATTTTTTTATGTCTATTATACTATTAGATATAAATTAAATATACAGGTAGTACTGTAGTATACATTGTATACTATACAATACTATTGATTGTATATAATTATATAATGTTGTACATATATATATATATATATATATATATATATATATATATATATATATATATAATAATAATAATAATAAAAACTCATCAAAACTATGTGATGTGTGATATTAAATTTGATTTGTGTGAGTGTATGTTTGTGTATGTGTGTGTGTATATGTATGTGTTTGTCTGTGTGTATATGTATGTGTGTGTATGTGTGTGTCTGTATATATGTGTTTGTCTGTGTGTATATGTATGTATGTGTATGTGTRTGTGTGTGTATATGTGTTTGTCTGTGTGTATATGTATGTGTGTGTATGTGTGTGTCTGTATATATGTGTTTGTCTGTGTGTGTATGTATGTATGTGTATATATATATGTGTTTGTGTGTGTATGTATATGTGTGTTTGTCTGTGTGTGTGTGTGTTTGACAATATAGACAACCAATATATATATATATATATATATATATATAATATAGTTATCCTTAACCTTTCTCCAGATTAACTCCTGTCCATTGAATGCCAGCGGAAAGTTAATGCCATTCATAGCCATCCAATCGATCTCTCTTTGCCATCGATTGAAGTCCCACCAGACCATTGAATAGCTAACCGTACAGACATTCTGGTAATACCTTAACCTACCAGTCCATGTGTGTATCAGTCACAGACAGTCAGTATATGGTGTGATAAGTCAACCAAATTGTTTCAATAAAAAAACRAAAAACAAAAAAAAAACATTTGTGGACACAGATTGTTAGTGACATTCAGTTGTATATACAATACAGTACTGTACTGTATATATATACAGTAATACCGGTATATATATATATATAAGTATAATATTATAAACCAAAAAAATTATAAAAAAAATAAAACATACTTGTCTTGTATGATAATAGTAACCGGTTTGCTAATGATAGGCAACGGTCCGGAGCCGACATCCAACTGATCCCCGGACCACGAGATATGACAATTGAGATAATGTTTTAGATAATAGTGGAAACCATTGGCAGCTGAGACACCACTGGTAGCCGTTATTTTGATAATAGTCGTTAGATTAGTTGGTTGAGTACTTTCCAACTAAAAAATAATATTTTTTAAATCATTAATTAATTAATTAATTATTTTTATTAATTAAATTTTTTTAAAAATTATTTTGTAAAAAAAAGGATTGAATTAACAGTTAGTTATTTTAAATGTTGAATCACTTAAATAAGTTTAACTTAAGTTTAGTATCTTTTTTTAAAACGTTTCACAATTACTACTAATAATAATTATAATAATAATTATAATACTAATAATAATAATAMTAATAATAAAACTAATAATAATAYTAATAATTATAGTTATTAATTATAAGTTATAATAAATGAGACAAATATTTATATATGACTCCCAAAGTGAGTGAGTGAGTGAGTGAGTGAGTGAGTGAGTGAGTGAGTGAGTGAGTGAGTGAGTGAGTGAGTGAGTGAGTGAGTGAGTGAGTGAGTGAGTGAGTGAGTGAGTGAGTGAGTGAGTGAGTGAGTGAGTGGAGAGAGAGAGATCATATTTAAAAAATAGTTTTAAGTATAGTCTAGACATTTAATATATTATAAGTTAAAACATCAGTCAAGTTACCAAGTTCAATCATTTTTTAAATGAAATAACTATATTATAGTTAAGTTTACAGCTTATACTTACACTAAAAAAATTTCACATATTATTAACTGATCCTGATCAATTATAAACTAATAAACAATATTATTATTATTATTAAATATGATATTAATAATAAAATAATAGACAGCATTTATTTTAGTTTTTAAATGTTTAATTTGAATTATAAATCAACAATTTCTATATAATTTGGATCCAAATAATSTTTTTATGTTATTTTTATACTTAAAGTTAATATTTATTTTTACAAAAAAAAATGTTTTAATGTAATAAAACATAAAATCCTAAATTAATCTTATTTTGTTTACTAATAAAAAAAAAAGTTATTTTTAACAACAAAATCAATTATTAAACTATACTATAAATTATTGTCTATTATTATTATTAGTATTAAATTAATTATTAAAAATATATACTAATTATTAACTTCAGGTTATAAATCATTAGAAAAAAATATTTTTTGACTAAAAAGCAGTTAAAAAATATTATTAAAATTATTCAGATATTAAAATATATATATTTTTGTAAAAAATAATAATTATATAATTTATGGCCCAAAAAAAACATATTTGTTTTTTGCATATTTTAATAACAAATAAAACTATTTTAATTTATACAGTAGTTAATTAATTACTTAATAATAATAATTAAATTAATTAAATTACAATAAACTTATCCTTATAATCGTTTTCGTCGGCCAATAGTAACAGTTTCTTATCGATGACCACTTGAAACTTGTCGGCCACCGATTCGGGTAACAGCCGTCCGATTAGCTGTTTGGTTGCGTTGGCCTGTATTACGGGATCGGTAGTTGAGGTGATTAGCCATAAATCATTTACAGCTGAAAAAAAATTAAAGAGATTAAAGCCAACCAACCAACAAAAAAAAATTAATAATAAATAATAGTTATATTATTATTATTATTATTATATTTTTTAGGTAATACTAATAATACTAATAATAGTTTACAATAACACACACAAAAAACAGCAACACTTGAAAAGCCAATTGAAAGTCATTTATCATTTTGATTGACTATTACTATACCTGACTATATATATATATATATATGATATATATGTTCAACAATAGTATTAGTTTTTTTGTTGGTTTAGTGTGTGAATTGATTAATGCAAACCAAACAACAACAACAACACCAAAAATACTTGAAACATAAAATCAATAAAATAGGTTTACATGTATATTTAACAAATAATATTTAATAATAAACTAAAATGATTATTATTTTTTTTAATAAAAAAATGTATAACAATTTTTATATAACAAAAAAAATAATAATATAAATGATTAATATATCATAATAACTAACTTATTGTTGTTAACATTTTTCAATGCATGTATTTATAATAATAWTTTTTTAAACTGTATCATAATATTGATTATAAAAAAATGATATATATATATATATAAAGTTATTAAATAATTATTTTTATAATTAATAATATACTATATATATTGAATGTTTGTTATAATTTATTTTTTTTAAATTTATTTTTGTTAAAATAAAATATAATTTAATACCAATAATACAAAATACAATATAAACTTATATATATATACTGTATATCCAATTATTTAGTAAAAATAAAATGACAAAAAAGTTAAATAATTATAACTAATAAAAATAATATTAAATCAATATATTTTAAGTTAATAATTAATAACAAATAAAAAATTTATATATAATTATATTTTTTTTAATAAATAAAAAATTAAAATAATATATACCTTTACTTCGGGCATCAATTGATTGTAATAATAATAATAATAGTAATAAAAGTAATCCTAGACTTAGCTGTTGAAAAAATAGTTTCATTTTTTTTTGATTATTTTTATTTTTGTAATTAAAGTACAATTTATTTTTATTTTTTTAGCGGAATTTAATTATTTTAATTAAACAAATAAACAGCAAAAACAAAAAAAAAATTGTTTTTGTTTTGTTTTGTTTTAATTATTCCCAGTATAAGGATATGTCAATTGCAAACACACACTTGAAATATAAACTACAAACAAAAAAAAATCACTAAACAATTAATTATTGAATTTTATTTAAATTATGTCTATTATTAATTAATTAATTAAAGTTATAATATTTTTTTTAATAATAAAAACAAACATTAATACTGTAATTAATAAAAACACTCACATTTCATAGGGATAGTTATTATTGATAATTAAAGTATATATATATATATATACTTATATTGACTGTCTATTTATATATATATAAATTACAAACAAATTTTTTTTGTAAAAAATTTATTATCTAAATCAAAGTGTTTATTATCTATTATATACTCTGTTAGTGTTGACAACAAAAATGAGAAAATTATTAAAAAAATAGTAGAGAAACTTATTAGAAAATTTCTAAATGAAATTTCTATTTATAATATGAGCATGTTAATTTTGTTTAATAGATATTTATTAAATTATTATATATTGGTTTATTATTTATTATATATTTTTTGGTAACAATACATAAGTAATAATTAAATATTTTTATTTTTATTATTAGTATTTTAATTATTAATAGTATTTTAATTATTAATAGTTATTTAATTATTAATAGTATTTTAATTATTAATAGTTATTTAATTATTAATAATATTTTAATAAATTTAATTTTATTAAACTATGATTTTAAAATTATACAATAAAATGATCAAGTCAAATTTTTATACAACTTATTAGTATTAAATAATTATATTTATTATATTATATATATCTAGTATAACACTATATGTATTATTATTATTAAAATAACTAAAAATATTGTTATATAACAATAGCATAACAATATAGTTAAATTTCTATAGAAATTAATTGCCGATAATATTTCTAGAAACTTTCTCATTTGGGTAAATTTCTATAGAAACTTTCTATATTCCCATATCTCTATAAATTGTGTATATTATCATTGAGTTTAATTGATGTTGACGTCTAATCATACACACTGTTATCAATATATATATACTGTATATATATATATATATATAAATTTTTGTTTAAGTTTACACACATTTTGTATTATTATTATTATTATTGATTTCCATTATTATCAATATATATATTATAAACCATTTATATACAGTTTACTACAACAATGCTAAATAAAATATAATTTTATTAATATATTTTTTAAATATAATTATAGATATTATATACTGTATATTACAAAAAACTATTGAATATTAATAGTAAATATTTTCATTATTTATTTAGTTGAAATATTTATAAAAAAATTAAMTAATTATTAATAGTTATCAACAATTAATAAACTTTAATATTATATATTAATGATAATTTTTTAACTACTTGTACATTGATAAAAAAATATAAATCAATATAAATACATAATAGATATTATATATATATAAATAATAATTGTATAAATAAAATTAAAACATTTATATATATATATWTTTTTAAAAATTAGTTTTATTTAGTGTTAAATTATTATTATTTTATTTAAAAAAAATATATTTGATTATATAATCTTTTTTGATTATTAATTAATATTCCAGTTTAGTTAACAATTATTTATTTTTGTCTAAAATTTAATTAAATATATATATATTACTGTTATTTTTTGTTGTTGATTATAATCTAATTAAATATAAATAAGATTAGAATTAAACTATAATATATATGCAAATATATTTAAATTATCAAAAAAATAATAATAAAAATAATAATAAAAACTGTGTTTAATTTAATTTTTTTAGATAAATATTAATTTTAAATAACATTATAGAAATATTTCCAAATTGGGAATTTGATTATTAAATTATATATATATTTTTTTAAAATTTATATTTTATCAAGTAAAATATAATTAAAAATATATTTTTAGTATATACTAAAAATAAATTATTGCAATATATTAAATATAATTTTTAATTTTAAAAATATCATTTAATATTTTATAAAACTATGTTTGAAAAAAAATTGTATTTAAATGTAATTAATATATAAAGTATTGTATATCAAAAAATACATTTTCAATTGGGAATACAATTATTGATTATTTTTAACAGAAAAAAAACTAAATTAACTTATAGTTATGTTTTTAATATGCATTTTTAGAAACAAAATATATTAATTTAATTAACATTTTATATATAATATACGATAAATTATACTTAAAAAACATTTTAATTAAGTTGTTTAAACAAATTTCTAGAATTAAAATTTTTTTTAAAAAATAATTTTACTGAGAAATATAATTATAATTGGATATTATTTTTCTGTTTTTTTTAAATATTAAATTATTTTATTATTTTTAAATACGATTAAAATAACTTATCCTAAACAACAATAATTAGTATATATATTATATATATATATATAACAATACTGTATATACAGTACATGAAAATCATTCAAACAATTATATTAATTAAATTATTATAAAACAATGAAATTTATTATAAAAATTATCACATTTACATGTATAATAATAATATTATTATTATTATTAAATTAGGTTTACAAAAATTATAATATTATTATTGGTATTATAACTAATGTTTTAAATTGTCTGATAAATAATTATGTGTGTCTATGATATGATATAATATAATAATTTTACAGCATTTTCTAATTAGATAATATATATATATATATATATTTGATTTAGTAATGTTAAATGAACTAGTTAATTTATTTATCATTAATCAAATTTATCAAATCCCCCAAGGTGATCTAATTATTTTGTATGTATTTTTTGTGTATTATTATTAAACATACAAAACAAAACACTTAAAAAATTTTTTTTTATAATATTGTATTATCTTTTATATAATACATGTATATTTTTATATATCATATAACTATATTATATAAATATACTATTATATATAAATTTTTTTTATTAAGTTAGATAAAGTAGTAAAAAAATTGGATATAAATAAATTATATATTTAAATAATTAATGTTTGCCTAAATATTATATGATATATAATATATATATTATATATTAAAAAAAGTATTTATATAATTTAAATCTTAATTAAATAGATTTAAAATTTTCTAAAAAATTCAATTTTTATAACAATTTAAGCAAAAAAAAAAAATAATAAACTTGGTAAACTTATAATTAATTTTTTTTTAATTATATATATATATATATATATTTAAAACTTAGCCAATAAATCAAATTGAAACTGCAATTTAATATTATTATATGTTGTCTAACATTTGAAGTATTACTTAATGTTTAATACACTGTAATTATTACTTATAATTATTGTGATTCAATTAAATACATTTTACTTAACAACAATATATATTTAATTTTTTTTTTATTATTTTTTTCAATAAGTTCTTATCTATATATATAAGCTATAAAAAAATTAAATTAAAAAAACACTTTATTTTATCGCTAAATTAATTTATCTAAAAGTAAATTTTACTTTTATTTGTTATCAATATAAATGCATAGAAAACTATTGAAATTTTTTAGTTTGATTAAGTTATAAATTTTCTAAATATATATATATATATATATATATATATATATATATATATATATATATATATATATATATATAKATATATAAAGTATATAATCAACAATAAAAAAAATTGAAACAATTATTTAATCAATTGTCGATTAAACGCTACATAAGTAGTAAATCTAATATAATTACTATTAAGTGTTTTTTATTATTGATTATTTGTTTTTTTAAAAAGTTTCATTAAAACAAAATCTATATATACATACAAAACTAAACTTAACTAAATTAAATAATTTAATAATAACTTAAACTAAAATGCTATTWACTAAAAATATTTTATTACATTAATTATTACATTTTATTTTCGATAATTATAACTTTATAATCAAAAAATATTTATTATTATTATTATAAATTGAAAAAATTTCTAAACAATACAATATTAAAATATAAGTAAAAATTGTAAAATAATTTTTTTTTATTAAAATCTATTATTATAATGATAAAAATAAAATATTTATTGTATATGTATTAAAAATATAAATTAATGTAAATGTTTTATAATAGAATTTTTATATTAATTTATTTTATTTTTTTTTGAAAAAAATTTATGTAAATTAAATAATTTTTACATTACTTTTGATATGATTTTTTTAAAAATAATTTTTAGCAATATACTAAAACTAGACAATGATATATTACAATTACATACTGTAAATACATTTTACAAAACATATTGTATGATTTACTGTTATATAACATTGTATATAACATTGTATAAAACATTGTATATAACATTGTATAATAAATATTATTTTTAAATGATAACTATCTTACTATGTTTAATCGTATTGTATTTTATGCTAACAATAAAAATTTATATATATTTTTTTATATTAAAACTATATAGATATTTAATTAAATATAGTTTTTTTAACTACAATTTATTTGTAGTATAGTATACGTACACAAGCATACATACATACACACTCATAAATACACACACATACATACACACACATATATACACACATACATACAAACACACATACATACATACACACACATATATATATACATACATACATACATACATATACACACATACGCACACATACACATACACACACATAAATACATACACATACATACACATATAAATATTCACATTTACACGCACACAAATATATGATAAAATATTTTTTATTTATTTATTTATTTATTATTAATACTATTGTTATTTATTTTATATAATTTTTATTTAGTGTGTCGAGAGATACTTTTTTAAAAAAAAAAATATTATATCAATAAAAAATAAACTTTATATCTATASTGCATYATAATTTATTTATTAACTATATACATGTATATTTTTGGATAAAAAAAATAATTTTAAATATATTTTTTCACAAATAAATTAATAATTTGAATGAAACACGAAAATTAAAAAAAAATGTTTTCTAATATAAAGTTAATAATTATTTTTATTTTATTTTATTTAGATATTATTTTTTTSTGAATCTTATATAATATATTAGATTTTTATGTTAATTATATTTTTTTATAAAAATACAYAAATAAAGTATTATTCAATTTTAAATAATAATAATARTRTTTTTTTCACTCAAATATAAATGTTGTCTACAAAATAAAAAATATATCGTATTATTATTATTGTATTAAATATATTTATATATATATTKTATTAAATATGAWTATATWTATATATATATTTTTAAATTAAATATGTCATAAAATATCCGTTAAAAACATATTTTTTATTAATCTAACAWAAAATCTATATATATAATATGCTCACCAAAAAAAATAATTAGTTATTACTTTTATTTTTGTTAGTTTTTTTTAAAAAAAATAATAAATATATTTATGTTACAAWWTTTTTATACTTTATTTTGCATAATATAGAGAAAAATAATTTTAAAAAGTTATAAATTAAATGCTATATATATATATTGTATACTTTATATATATAATTTTTAGTCACTATAATATTTTTTGGGCCAAAAAAAATAATAAATTGTTATATTATATATATATATACCCAAGATATTAGATAACATATTATAGTACATATATTATGCAATAATATTATTTATTATAATRGCTATACAGTATATATATGTATAACATTATAATAATAATAATAATATTTATGAGATAAAAATATTATTATTTTTTAATTTTGTACATATTATTATTATTAATTTGCWAACTTTAAGAAATTTGTTATAATATTGTATATATTTATATATATWTTTTTTGTAGACAATTATAGAGATTGTATTATAGAGAATATTAAAAATATATGTTATTTTTTTCATTAATATATATATATAATATAATACATTATTTTACATTATTATTATTAYTAAAAATATTTYTWAAACAGAATATTCTGTAATTTGRAAAAAAAATATTAAACTTTGATTTAAAATTAAAAATTAAAAAAWTTTATGATTATTATTAGTATTATTAGTGGTATTAATATTTTATTWTTTATTTTATTATTATGACATCTTWTATATGTGTTGTCCAATCGTTATAWTAAACATATATTTTTTAAAAAGTATATTATTATATATATATATAATGTGTGTATATATATCTCGTAAATATTATGACCATTTATAGTCATTATTATGAGACACACACACACACATTGCGATTGTTAAGCACCCACCGTTAGAGCGCATACACACACACATACATMSAGATCCAGACACCACATACGGTATACACACACACAAGTTATACATACATTACTGACTACACACACACATACGGTATGTCTATCCTCCATACCCTACGGTATATACGATACGACAACTACTACTAAGTAGTAGTAGTAGTGATAGTTAAAGTATTACATACATGTGTGTGTGTGTGTGTGTGTGTTAGAGGACATCRTATTTATCACTACTAGTTTTTTTTAAATATATATATATATATATATATATATAATCATTGTTATAACTTAAGCGACACCAACAACAAAAAAAAACTACAGTCACACAAAACTCAGATTCATTTTATTATTATTATTATTATTGAGTGTCTATTATATATATACAGTATATTGAAGTTGTTTAAGTGTATAATATTTTTTATATATATAWAAAATATATATTTATATATATATAGCCAAAAAAATAAATAAATAGATATGTGTTTTATACAATGTGTGTGAGTCTATAAGTTTTTTTCATATATATATATATATATATATATATATATAGTTAGATAAGTGCTAACAATGATGAGTTAATCTTTATATATATATATATATATATATCTAAAAATATATAGAGATTTTAGTAGTTTATTATAAAGTTGATTATTATTATTATTATTTTTCTAATCAATTTACTTTTTGTGTGTTAAAAGTTTTTTATTATATTATTTTTTTKTTGAAAATCATTTAGAGATTATTTTATTTTTATTTGCGACGACAAACAATAATATAATTATATTAGTAATAATAATAATAATAATAATAAATATATGGATTATAGTGAATAAAAAAAAAATTTAAAAAAAAAAACAATTTTATATATATATATAGTGTAAAATTTATTTTAATATTTTACTAAATAATAATTAAAAATAACATTATTATTAAAATCTAATTGATGTCATTATAATAGTTTAAAACAAACATTTTTTTCATTAAATAAAGTTATTATTAATTTTWTTATCAAAAAAAAAATTGTTTGATTTTGTGTGTGTATAAAWAAAAATTATAAGTAATTTTCTAATAATWATAMTAATTATTATAATAAAATGGTTGATATATTTGAAACTACCGGTGCCTTTGATGATTATATTATTAACAATAATAATAGATTTAAYAACTATAATAGTATTGGTGGTGAYAGTGATGGTGTCGACACCACAAATAATATACTAATTAATACTAATAATAATAATTTTCTACTAAATATAACCAATAATAACTATGATGATGACAGCAATTGTTTTGTYCAACCACTGGAACCGGTAGATACCAACATGAAAATCGTATTGATAACCTTCTATACTATATCRACATTGGTAGCACTGGTAGGCAACTGTATAGTCATCATTGTCGAATGGTCGTCCAAGCCATCGATCGGTGGYGGTTCCTCAKCRTCGACAGCCTCACAAAATTTGTCCCGTTTTCTGATATCGATGGCCATCAGCGATGTCGTTATGGCCGTCCTRTGCGTACCGTTCAACTATACCAGCGTWATGTTGGGTCGTTGGATATTTTATCATTGGCTCTGCCCAGTGGCCCAGTTTACCCAACTATTGTCGGTAGCGGTAACCTCGTTCATACTGACCGTTATCGGCATTGAACGGTATGTTTTTTTTTTCAATAAATTTYAATTTTAATTWWAATTATTTGATTTTTTTTTTTGGTTGAATAAATCCTATGGTCTTATTTATATATATWWTAATATTTATTATTTTATATATTAACTATTATTTAGTTAATAAACTAGTAGTATTTAACAACTTTAACTATTTTAATAAATAAAAAATATTTATATATTTTTAAATTATATATATAATGTAAATTATAACTATTAATATTATTTGTTAACGTATATTCAAAATGATTACTAACTATTAATGATTTTAAAATTACTAATATTAGGTAATAAAATCTAAAAATAATTATAAATTTGTTAATAAATTAGTAGTATATTATTTATTTATTTATTTTTTTGAAAACATACTTAACTATMWMATAATTAACTACTATTATTTATATAWACTATTAATATTATTTGTTAATAAACTAGTAGTATATTATATATWTTGAAAACATACTTAACTATCATATATTTAACTAACTATAAWATTTATGAATTARTTTTRAATAWTAAAATACTAGTAATTATTTTTTTAAAAAACAACATAACTATCATATTTATATAATGTAACTATTTTTAAAATATAATAATTTTAAAACATTTGAAATACTACTGCAAATATTTGGTTAAATAAAATGTAGTAAAATATTTWGTTAAATTATTAATAAATAAATAGTATTAAATTTTATATATATATATATTAATTTAATTTAATAAATAATCAATAGTTAATAACAAAAAAATTAGTATTTTTAATAGTATTTTWAAAATGTTTAAAAATTATTTTTATTTATAAATAGTTATGTTAAATATATATATAGTATATATAGTTATGTGTTGTTTAAAAAATAATTRCTAGTATTTTTTAMTATTAAAATYAATATATAAATAATAGTTAGTTAAATATATATGCCATATAAGTATGTTTTCAAAATAATAATAATAATAATATACTACTAGTTTATTAACAAATAATATTAATATATAAATAATAGTTAATTATTATATATAATAAGWCATAMCAATAAAARTATGTTTTTGAAACGTTTATAATTTTTTCTAATATTACTAATTTTAAAATCAATAGTTAGTAATYAWTTTGTGTTATATAATCTATAATGTTTTYWAAAAATAAATAAAAATATTTTTAATTAAAATAGTTAAASTKRTTAAATAGATTTAGWTTATTAWCTGTAAAATTAATATATATATATATATAATATRATATTAAAGTTAATTAAAGTTAATCAAATAAGACAAACCATAAAAATGCTTTTTTWWAAAAATGTTAAATATATTTTTGCATACTAAATTAAATCTATATAAATATATATATATATATATATATATATATATATATATATATATATATATATATATATATATATATATATATCACAATTAAATAAACAMYAAATAATTAAATATAAATTATTATTATTATATATATATTTATTTGGTATAATATACAGTACATTATATATATATATTTATTTTTAATTCAAGTAGAAATCTTAATATTGATTCAATTGATTTTATTTTATTTTTTTTGTGTGTATTTGTTATTTTTTTTTKGTATTATATACTGTATAAACTGCATATTATTATGTGTCTATTTTTATACTGTATATTTAATTTTCAATAATGTTTATTTTTATCATTTTATTCAAACAATAGACAATTTTGCAATACAATACAATAACAATGACAATATATATATATATATATATATATATATATATATATATATTGCATATTTAGCATAATGTTTTGTAAGAGATTAAAAATAAATATGTGTTTCAATAAGATATTATCTTTTAAATTTGACTTAAATATCATAGTATACATGTATGTATTGTATTATATAYACAGTACTATACTTTATATATTATATTATATATAGAAATTAATAAATTAGTTTTTAATTAATTTAGTAAAAAATATAATTATTTTTTAATAATAAAAAATGTTTATATTTACTGATAGTGATAAYSAAATTTAAATTTTTTTTATTAACTAATAATACAAGAAATTTTATATCAAATATAATTTTTTAAATATACAGTAAATATTTTAGTAAATATTTRATAACAAAATAATAATAATAATACTAATAATTAATTTTATATTTTTCTAGTTTTATGGAAATTTTTTTTCCAAGTAATTTGATTTCTTATTTATAATTTTTTTTGATGTATTTTTTTTTTKGTAACTTTAATTAGTAATCGCTATTCATCTAAATTCAACTAAAAAAATAAAAAATAAATTAATAATCATAATAATAAYAATAATAATCATTATAATAAGATAATATAATATTTTATATATTATTATAATAATAAGCTCTATTATCCCTAACATGACATTAAAAGTTATTAATTATAATTATTATTAAAAAAAATAAATYTCAATAATAAATAATAATTATTATGAATTTTCTTTGAAAAAAAATAAATTTGACAATTAATTAAAATAATATATAGTTTTAGTTAAATATTATTAAAAAAATTTTTWTGACTTTTTAAATATTAATTYTAATAATAATAATAAAWGATTTTCAAAAATATGTTTTGTTTAAAGGATTTATAATTTTTATTTMACAAAAATAAATACTTAATATTTAAGATCTAATTACTTTATATAYAATTAATTTTWTTATTTATCCAAAAWTTRAAGCAAAATTTAATGTTTTCACTACAAAATTAACATAATAATATTTAAATTAAATTTTTATTTTAATAMTAGGAATTAAATGAAAAACAACTTATAATATTTTTTKTWTGATTTTATAATATTAWTATTATTATTATTATTATTATATTTTTTAAATACATTGTTATTWCTAATTGTAAAGTCATATACCGTAAACTGAAACTAAATAAAWTWTTWTATTAAGCCTTTATTATATATATATATATATATATATATATATATATATAAATTTTTATTTAACTAATTGTTTGTTTATTATAAAAAATTATCTTATTATTTTTGTTATAATTTATTTTTTAACAAAAATAAATATTATTATTCAAATATATTATTATGACTTAAATTTTATTTGAAACCTAACTGTGCTTGATAAAACATTTTTTTAAATAATAAATTTTATTTTAYATAAAAATATAATTATTGTTTATTCATTTWTATATATAATWTTTTTGATGATAATTTTTATTCAAATTACAAAAAATATATATATATATAATTTTAGGTTAAATTTCAAGTATTGTTTGTTTGATAATTATTATTTTTAAATTAAGCTTTTAATAATAATAAGTTATTATAACAATATTTAATTAAAACTACTATTCATTAATGGAAATATTTTTTTGGGTCATATATTTGACTAAATAATAATAATATTATTTGAATTTTATTTTTATAAAAATAACTCAATTATTTTAAATTACTAATTAGTGTATCAAAATATTTTACTTTAGTATAATTAGATATTATTTTTATTTATATTTTATTTATTTTTATAAATAATATTCAATTCAATTCAATAATATTCAATTAACTTATACTCAAAAAAATTAATAGAGATTAACAAAAATTCATTGTTTGAATAATATTATAAATTTTAATAATAAATATTTTAAATAAAAATTGTCCTCAAAAGTGTAATATATTTTAGTATAGTTTATACAGTATTTATATATATATATACAGATATAAAATATTTATTATTTATATTTATGATAATAATAATAAGTTTTTTTAAATAAATATATATATTATTATTTTTTCATATATTATTTTTTCATATATTATTTTATTTACACATTTATTTAACCCACGATATCCTGATGCCCACTAAATATTGATTATTGATAAAAAAGTTAATATATATATAAAACAAAACAAAAAATACAAATTTAATTAAAAAGTTATTATAATTATTTATTGTTAAATAAATTAATTAATATATATATATATATAACATGTATTGTTTAATATACCAGTACTACTATCAACTAATGGCACCCACCAATTATCCTAATTGACATATAGTATAATAATGGACAGTTGTGTTAGTTAGTTAGTTAGTAGTCTATAGTTTCACTCAATAGTTATTTTTGACCACTTATTCAGCAAACATTTTATCACACATTAATTAACTTATTTTCTCACTTTTTGATTATATATTATATTACAATACATATATATACCAGTGTATTATATAATCATCAACAACAACAACACTTGGCAACACATATACATCAAGTACTGGTAGGCTACTAGCTATACAAGCCATGGCCATACCTAAAAAAACTAAGTGTAGTGGTCAGCACAAAAAAAGCAAATAATTTATTTTATATGTTGTTGTTGTTGTTGTTGGTTTTGATTGATTGATAGTCAACTATTATAATATAAGCAAATAATAAAAAACAAATTTTTTTATTGTTTTAAATAAACCTATGAAAATAATTTTGTTTATTTAGTATATATATAAAGTTARTGTGAAATAAAAATAAATTTATTTTTGTAATATACCTGTATTTTTATATATTTTTTAAAAATAATTAGAATTAATTTTATTATTATTTTGTTTGTAAATACAGTATTATTTACAAATTAATAGTAAAATTTTAAAAAGTAATATTTCCATAATTGTTGATTTTTAACAATAATAATAATAATAATTAATAGTAAAATAAAAAAAATAATATTTTTATATAGTTAATTTTTAACAATAATAATAATAATTAATAGTAAAATTAAAAARTAATATTTCTATATTATTAATTTTTAATAATAATAATAATACATAATTAACAGTAAAATTAAAAAGTAATATTTCTATATTATTAATTTTTAATWATAATAATAATTAATAGTAAAATTAAAATAATATTTCTATATTGTTGATTTTTACTAATATTAATAATATTGTAAACTAAATAATTAATTAAATAAAATCATTATATGTTTGTTTGTTTGTTTGTATTTTTACAAAATAATTCATTAATTAATAAAAATTAATTTAAATTAATTAATTATTACTTTATTTATATTATAACCAATATATTTAGATATTTAGCTACAACTCATCCGTTTTCATGGTTTTACATTTGGCTATCCAGTCATTCACGACTAATGCTGAGCCTGTCGTGGATTTTTGGTGTCACCTATTCATCCCTATGGACTATATTTACCCAAACCGACTCATTTATCTACAATAATACCACTTACTACCAGTGCTATTCGGGCATAGTTATGAGCCATGAGCTGAAAAAAATCTCACTGGTCATTAACTTTTGTTTACCTATTGTGTACCCTTGTTTGTCATATCGTTTAGCTATTATGCTATAACCAGACATCTACGGGAATCCATGAGCAATACTGATCCAACATTTACACAGTCGATACAGATTAGAAAACGGACTAAAGTATGTATAGATAGATAGATATATAGATATATATATCAATATATTTATTGTATATTATAATATAAAGTTTATAATAATATCATATATCAAAATTATATAATTTATTTTATACATATATATATATATATATACAACTAATATTAAGTATTAGATATTTTTTGAACCTACATTACAAAAATAGATGATAATAATAATAATAAGATATCAATCAATCAATATATATATCACTTTTATTTACTGTATAATATAATAGTATACATCATTGTATTTTTTAATTAAACATTTGCATTAATTTTATATTTATATATACTGTATATACTGTAAATTGTATAGATTTATATAATTGTATAGATTTATATATAATTGTATAGATTTATATATATATATATAGATTTATACTGTATATTAAATAGACTGTAGTTTTCGTTATTCAATTATATATATATATATATATATATATATATTAGTAGATAAATAAAATAAAAAAATAATTTGCATTAAACAGCTATAATAATAAGTAAATCTAGAAATAAAATTAGAGTAAAATCAAATCAAATTAAAAAAAACTCAATAAAAGATTAAAACTTAATTTAAATATCTTTTTTTATCTATCATTTACTTTACATTATATAATGTATTTTG